AAATCTGTCACCCTTCAACTTGAAATCGAATGTGTATTACAATTCCTACAAAATTGTATGACATTATTTGACGTTTCTACACAAAAATTATAAAATCCCATCCCTTGAAAGTTGAAAAATTGTTTATACCAGTAGAGAAAAGGTCAGAGGGAAAAGTTGTAACCATAAATATGTCATGTTTGAAATTTTATGTGCCACTTTCAAATCACTCCATTCCATGGGAGCTTTCAGGCTCAAAAAAAAAAAAAAAAAAAAATTAAATAGGAATAATTTTACATAAAATAATAACAGAGAGAATGAACATTTTCAATAATGAGTCGTACTTTTATATAACCATTTATTAATGGATCTGTGGAATAATGAAATGTAAAGGAGATAAGTAAAAATCTTAAACTGTAAAGTTATGCCATGTAAAACAAAAAAAAATAGTCATGAAAACTTTTGTCACCCCCATGACTGTTAAAAAAAAAAATTAATGAATTATCTATGAAAACAGTATTTAAAGTTTACCAAAGATGAAACTAAATAAATGCTAGATTCATCTTTTAAAGGGTCTGTGGAGTAAGAAAAGTAAAATTTTTAATTCTGATAACACAAAAATTGGTTGTTTTTAAAAATCACATTAATTTTTTTATGTTAAATTTTAAATATATGTACATCATAGGGTCTTGCACAACCATCGTTATCAAATCAAACAGTAGGCATCACAATTGAATAATTTTTCCTGATCTATAATGATATTAGAATTTTTTTTCTGCAAATTGTTAAATGTTATCCCTTGACTATCGATATAAGGCTTAGGAGACAATTAAAACTTTTGTTCCTAGCAGTTTCAGCAACACATAGCAAAGCACATAAAGGAATAGATCATAAATAATTTTACACTTAAAAAATGGTAGTGTGAACTATGAAGATAATGACTAATGATAATGATCTTTTAAAGGATGAGTGGAGTAATAAAATGGAGATGACATAACCAGCTGTAAAATTCTGGTGGTTCAAAAATGCAATGCAAATTTTAATGATTATTCGGAGATCATGAGATACAGTCTGGTGTGACATAGGTTTTAGAAAAACATTTTCTTTATCATGCCAACATTTCGATCTTTATTGAGATCTTCAGGGCCTGGGATTTATAAACATTGTTTAAATTTTACAAATACAAGTAGTAGTAATTTTTTAAAATTATTTTCTAAAGGTTTTTCTAAAATCTACGTCACACCAGAGCGCATCTCACGATTTCCGAATAATCATTGACTAACAGTCACTAAACAGCACACACAAATTTTAATACAAATCACATCTTAAAACTTAATAAAGGTTGAAAAAAATCACTCAGATCCGTCAATAACAAATTGACATTGGACATAGAGTTTTATTAAGAGATTGGAGAAGAAAAAAAGGGGCAGACACAAAGTGGGTTGAACGAATTTGTAATGTTTCAAATTTTTGTGCTACTTGCAAAACACTTCTGACAATGAGATTTCATACTCAGGTGACTATTTTATCAGCATTGCAATTGCATTAAAAAATTATTGGGCCATAAAGATAAACGACATATTGCCTGTCATGTTTCGAATCTTTTAAAGGATGGGTGGAGTAATAAATTGAAAAGTCAAAATGAGCTGTAAAACTATGGCGAATCACATTTTCAATTATTTTTTAAATCACATATTAAACCAAACTAAGGTAAAACTAAAACAAAATCTGACAGAACTGTCAATACCAAAATGAAGTTGAAAACCTTACGAAGGAACTGAATCTTTTCTTTTTGTTCAAATTGGCCTTATCCTTGATTTTTTGCAACTCAATTTTATTATGAAAGGCTAATATAAATTTTACCAAGATAATAACTTTTCCTTTACTATTCTAAGGTGAGATGAGTTTGTGTTTCTACTGGAAATGGTGAAATGCCATCCCTTGACGGTTGAAAAAAAAGCTTTAGAAGTTAAATAAGAGAAGAGGCATGGAGAGAAAGCTAAGTGGGTTGAATGCATTTGTACTGTTTGACTTTTTTTGTGCCACTTTTAGCTAGTTATTTGTTTTGAACTTCTATATCAACTTGTGGTTATTTGAGCTTGAAATTCTAGTGCTTGATAAATTCAATGCAGTTTTTTAAAAGCCACAGCCCAAACATAATTAAGGATAGAACTAAACCAAAACCTGCCAGAGCCAAGAAATGATATATTGACTTACATTAAACTTAAATGATATTGACATATGATTTATTGTTTTCTAGAAATTAAATTAACAAATGGCATCCCTGAATGATGGAAAATCGCTTTTATGAGAAAAAAAAAGGGCAGGCAGCAAAGTGTCTCAAAGTTCAGTGGGTTGGACAAATTTCTAATGTTTGAAATTTTTGTACCACTTTCAAAAGTCGTTACATGGAGATTTTATGTTCAAATGACTATTGTATTAGCAATCATATTACTTTACATTTTTACATTACAATAAATTATAACTGGCTGTACAATTTACAATTTTTTTCTGTCACAAAGATAATACAGTATTGCCTGTCATGTTGCATATATTTTAAAGGATGCGTTAAGTCCTGTTCCACGTAACCATCATTTAAGATTTTATAGATTACAAAAAATGAGGATGACAACCAGCAGTAAAATCTGGCGATTCAAAAATTCAATGCTATTTTTAAAAATAACATCATAAAGATAACTTAGGGTAGAAATAAAACAAAATCTGTCGGAACCACAAAGGCCAAATCAGATAGTTCACAGTTGAATAACTTCCCAGTATTTTACAGTGACATGAGACCTGTTTTCTACAAATTGAATTGACAATTTATATCCTTTGACTGGAAGATTTGGAAAATCGCTTATATGTGAAGACATCAAAGTGGGTCGAACAAATTTCTGATATTTGAAGTTTTTTGCCTCTTTCAAAACAGAAGATTTCATGCTCAAATAACTACTGTAATAGAAAAAAAAGTACAGGTTTTATTAATAGAAGGAGGACAATTATAAGTGTAAAATTGTAAAAAGCTGTAAGATTCCTGCAAAATTCAATGTGGTAAATAAATAAAAAAGCCTGCCAGAATTGTCAATATCAAATTGAATAGTTTGTACCACAAAATGAATAATTTCCTTTAAAGTATTTTACATTGGCATTAGCATTTACTGTTTTCAAGAATTTGAATTGACAAATCGCATCCTTCAAATGACAGAAAATTTTTTATGTGGGCAGACAGCAAAGTTGGTTGCACAAATTAATAATGTTTGAAATTTTAATGCCACTTTCAAAACACTTGTTACATGGAGATTTCAAGCCCAAATGACTATTGTATTAACAATCATTTTGTATTAAAAAAAATGATCACAGGTTGTATTAAACATGAAAAAAATGATGGTGTTGCGTATAATTTTAAATCTTTTAAAAGGTGTGTGGAGTAATAAACTGTAGAAGACAAAATGGGCTGTTGAATTATGGCGATTCAAAAATTCAACAGTCTTTAAAAAAATTACTCATAAACAGAATTAAGGGTAGAAATAAAATAAAATCCGTCACCACCAAAGCAAAAGCAAGTTTACAATGAATAAGTTTTCAGTATTTTAGTATTAATCTCATCCATTGACTAATGGAAAATTGCTTATATGTGATGACATTAAAGTGGGCAGCACAAATTTCTAATATTTGAAAAGTTTGTACTACTTTTGAAACAGTCGTTACATGCAGGTTTAATGCTCAAATAACAATTGTAATACAAAAATAACGCAGCTTTCACTAACCATGAATATAATGAAAGTGTTGCCTGTCACTTTATATCTTTCAAATCGTGTGTGGAGTAATAAAATATAGAAGACAAAAAAAGGCTGTAAAATTCTGGCAATTCAAAAATGCAATGCAGTCTTTAAAAAATTACTCATAAACATAATTAAGGGTAGAAATAAAACAAAATCTGTAGAACTACTAGAGACAATTGAATATGCTTCCAGTATTTTAGTGACATTAGAACTGTTTTCTACTAAAAAAATATATAGGGACAGACTGCAAAGTGGGTCGCGCAAATTTCTAATATTTGAAATTTTTATGCCACTTTCAAAACACTTGTAACATAAAAGATTTGAAGCCTAAATGAGACAACTGTATTAACAATAGCATTTACAAAAAATTATCACAGGTGTATTAACCAAGAAGAAAATGACGGTGTTGCCAGTCATTTTATACCTTTTAAAAGGTGTGTGGAGTAATAAAATGTAGATGATAAAATGGGCTGTTGAATTATGGCGATTCAAAAATTCAACACTTTCTTTAAAAAATTACTCATAAACATAATTAAGGGTAGAAATTAACCAAAATCCGTTAGAACCAACAAAGCCAAATCAGTTCAGAAATCAATAAGTTTTCAGTATTTTAGTGATCCCGCGACTGATGGAAAATGCTTATATGCGAAGATGAAGTGGGCTGCACAAATTTCTAATATTTGACATTTTTGTGCCACTTTCGATACAGTCGTTACGTGAAGATTTCATGCTCAAACTATATTAACTATAGTAATAAAAATTACTACAGGTTTCATTAAATATATGAATATGATGACAGTATTGCCTGTCGTGTTTCATATCTTTTAATGGATGCATGGAGTAATAAATCGTTGGCGATAACCAGATGTAATATTGTGAAGTACCAAAAACGCCCTGCTATCTTTATTTGTTTGTTTTATAAAAACAGGCTTTTAGAAAATTTAAAATTTCCTCTTTTTAATACGAATTGTGGATTTGAGTCGTGGCAAAGGCCGGAATTTTCGTGCAGGACCGCCTGCCAAGTGGGAAGAGGAACAGGAATCGGTGAAACGAGGGCGGCCCAGAAAAGCGGAAGGTGCAATGCACCAAACACCAGAGGAATCCACGGTATCCGACACAGGTCCCGATGGAGGTCAAGGTTGCCGAATAGGCCGCGGGACACTTTCCAGGCAGACCTCCGACGTGAAAAATCGTGTCGAAATGTCGCATTTTTTTAAAAAATAAATCTCTCGAACCCACCTTGTAGACTTTTCCGAAGGCTCCATCGCCCAGCTCTCCGATGATGTTCCAGAACTCCTCGGGGTCGCATTCCATCTGAATGTTGTTGAAGACTTTCTTCTTCTTCGACTCGTTGCCCCCGAGGTGGAGGACTTTCTTCAAATTGCTCAGAAACGACATTTTAAATATATATAAAAAATGAAGACGAAACCCTAATCAAATCGACCCTGCGGATATCAAAAATTGACACACTTCATCAACTTTTCTCGTTTCAGTAAAAAAAAAGGCAAAACAAAATTTGCAAGGGAAAACGTTCTCGCTAATCCTTATGTCACTGTTTTTAACATTTGGATTTGAACCTTTTTCGCACTTTCGCGTTCATTTTCACTGCGGAATTTAAAAAAAAAATCACCGAAAAAAATTGTCAGGGAAATAAAGTCACATAATTGGAAACTCGCGAGTAGTCTTCCCCCTGAGAAAAGGGCGAAAACGAAGGAAGGACCTTCGGCCGAATCGCATCTGAGTCGCGGCCGGGGGTGGAAAAACTGTGGAAACTCACTCGCGCCCCCGGAAAAGTCCCGAGTCCCACTTTATTTTTCTTGGAAAACAAACTTCGGATGGGTCAGTGCGGGCTCCGTCTCCTCCTCCTCATTTTCCTGATGGGTGCGCGGGTCCTGGGCCGAAGGGGGAAAACGGAAAAGGGCAACGTAAAAAAGAAAAACCGAACGGAAAAACACCTGTTTCACTTCGGTCCCTCGGCCACTTTCCGATACATCAAAACTCGGAATCCATTTTACTCCACCACGCCTGGAAATGACGTCAGCCTCCCGTCGCCGTCCACTTGATCGCCAACGATTTCATCCCACCACAATACTTCATAAGGAAAACTTTTTAACACCTTTTTTATACCTTATTAATTAATAACATTCAAATTTACAAAAACGAAACGTTTCATCGAGTGCAGATTTTTTTAATAATCCTTTTCATGATTATATCAAATTCCAATATTCTATCAGTTTACAAATGATGAGGAGCTAGAGAACCGACTTACGCCATAAATGGTTATCCATACATTTATTGAACAAATCGATATATGAATTTTTTTACTTCTTACTATTACTCCATAGAAAACTATACATGACGGTTTTTTAGCATCGCTTAAGGCCAAAAATAACTAGATAAGAACTGTGAACAAAACTATTAAATAAATTAATAAAAACAGTAAAGATCACAAACACAATTGAAAACTACTAAGATGAAGCATTACAAAACCAATCTATTTACATAAATGTCACATATTTTCGTCTGACAGACTGTCTGGTGTTTTGGACCACAAAAGCACTGAGTCAGTGTGCGACAAAAATCAATTCTAATTAATAACTAACAACTGCAACTAAATTGTTTAAACTAATTTTGCCTACATCTACCAACGAGCAATTTAGTTGAAACTGTTCACTAACAATTTAATTAATTAAAGTAGTTGTTACCAATAAACAACTAAAAGTTTTTAGTTAACAGTTTTAGTCAACTAAAAAATTAGTCAATTACGCCCCACACTGTGCGGAATCTTTTGGGAATTGTTTGAGGCATTCTAAATGCTCTTTTTAAGCAATGCTATGATATATTATCCCAAAGGATGTAGATATAAAATGCAGGGTGGGAACTAAACATTTCGGGCACATGAAAAAGATTAATAAAATCGGACACCCGTTTTTTAGAAATGGAGACTGACTACATGATCTCGGAATCACTCTTTTCAACAACCTATAAAATTTCAACAGACTACAAAGAAAAGGACGAATTTAGGAAGAAATCAGATACTAAGATATTGTATACAGAATCAAATAAAGGAACCATATCAGGCGCTTTCTGTACAAGCCCAAAATGCGAGCAATCAAACTCATAAGGAAAGTACACCTTGGTCTTTTAACCTGAAAATCAAGCCATCAACACTTGTGCCTTAGAAAATCTTCGAAAAGGTTACCCTAACAAAAATCATCATAAGATCGGTTAGACGAGCAGCTATTAAAGCATTAGCATGGGAAAAAACAAACATTAAAATTAGCCATTGAATCCATCCAGAATCTCCAAAAACTGGTGAAATACAGCAACCTGATGCTATCTTGGGTTCCAGGACACAAAGGAATTTTGAGTAACGAAAAGCAGACACCTGGCCATAGGAGGCATGTCCATATTCTGTTTCCTCATTATAAGTCAGTTGCTTGAAACATAATAATTTTATTTAGTTAAAAAAAAACAACTAAAAATATACTATACCTGTAGTTATAACACTTTGTTATATTATTTCAATATTTTTTCAATAATTCCTAGACTTTAAAATTATATTGATAGGGTGTTTAATTAAATCTTTATGTTGTTTTATTTATAAGGATGTTATCGTCTTTTTCATTGATTGTATAGTATAGTGTTTTATTCTTTATTAATGTTTAGTTAGTTATAAGCATTGTATTGTATATATTTTTTCTCCTTACTTTTGTATACTTTTTTAAGAAATGGGTTTTTGAACCATAAAAAATAAATAAACAACTAAGATAAAGAGGCCTTGAGGTTGGGTTTTGGGATCACAAAAACAAACAGAATATTCCATTACATAATGGATCTAAAACAGAAAAAAAGAAGAAAATGGATAAACTCTACAGGTGCTAGACATAATAAACTTATGCCAAAACAACCCTCATGAAGATTGGCAAACACATTGCTACAGTTAAAGGCCTAAACTCAAAGGAGTGATAGGTCCGGTCACTGGCATTTGAGGTGAAAAAGAGGAAGAAACAACCCACCTTCGAATGCAGAGCATCTGCTCAATAAAGGAAAAAAAACAGTCGATGGTTTAGAACTCAATGACCCTATAAAACTTTCCTTGACCAATTTATCGACCTTATTGCTGCCCGTCTTGCCTGTACAATTTGGTACCACCAAAACAAGGATAAGTTTGTTGTTACTCTCAATTCTGATGGCATCAACTAAAATTTTGATGGTTGTTTATAATTTCCTCTTTTTAAGTTTAGTACTAGTAGTAGTAGGAGAAGGATCGATTGCACTGAAATAAGGAATTAGGAATGTACAATAAACTAGAAGGCTGCAGTGTTTTGGGAACAAAAACCTACGACTTCCTAGTTCATCAATTCATCATGATCATAATCATCACCTATTTAAGGTTTATTGTCACCAAAAGTCACAATCTTTTGAGTGTATATGGTAGATGTATTAATAAAACAAGAAAGCTAGTTATTTAGAAATCGTGAGATGCGATCTGATGTGATGTAGGTTTCAGAAAAACATTTTCTTTATCGTGCCAACGTTTTGATCTTTATTGAGATCATCTTGAGGGCTCAATAAAGATCGAAACATTGGCACGATAAAGAAAATGTTTTTCTGAAACCTACATCACACCAGACCGCATCTCACGATTTCTAAATAATTATCGATTAACGGTCACTAATCACCACACATTTCTACACGAGAAGAAAGTTAGTTTTTATTGATTATCAGCCTTGGTATTTCAAACAAATTATTGAAGATTGTAACAAGAACTTTGGTAAACACTGAGTTGTAAATATAAACAAAAAGCGCTAGAGATCGCGTATACTTCTGTCTCTAGTCTGTAAGTTTTTAGTCAGGAGAATCGTCGACCTTTCTAGGTCATTAATAAACAGTTATGTCTCGGAGGTCCACGTTTGTTTGAAAAATCTACACCGCTGTGATGCTGGGGTGCGTTCCTGTACGAATGGCGATTTTCAAGGAGGACCTCGATCTCTACGGCACTTTGCAAAGGTGACACGAAAGTCTCTAAGATTCGGCGTCTCTATTCCACGCCAAGTTCAAATCTCCATATCCTGTGATTGTTTCTCATAGGTTATGTTTTGTTTGTTTTCTAGCGTTCTTCCCAAGGCTTTTTAAAAAAAATGTTTTTTATTTGTATAAGGTTTTCTAACTAGAAGGGAGAAACAGGGCTGTTTGGCTCATGGTTGAACAATTTATGAAGAAAGTTAGTCAAATTTCGGAGATTGAAGGACCGGGGGAATATCGCGACGCCATAAAGCGTTGTTACTTTACTAAAAAAAAAAAAAAGTTTTGGGTTGGTGCTAAATTAATGCTGGTTTTGAAAATTGTTTTATTTTCGAATTTTCTACTCATACAAACAAACCTAAATTCTCAAATCTAATTATGGATTATAATAATTGTTATCTTTTATACAAAATGTTTTAGTTTATATTGAATTTTATAAGAGTGAGGACCTGCAAAATTAAATATGTTCTAATTAGATTTTCGTCAAATTTATTTGTATGAATTTAAACTAGAGTGAGGGGGGGGCTGCGGTAGCCAAGTGGTTAAGGTGTCAGACTCTCGGCTAGTAGATCCCGCGGTCGTGGGTTCAGTTATCACATTTGCCTCTGGACTTTTTTTTTTATTCTTAAGCCGTAATTAAATGAAATTAACATGGCATTCATTAAGGCTGGTGCCATGATGTGACGGGAGTTTCCATGATTGAAATTTCCGCTGCGCAAGCTTACATTCAAAATAGCCTTCGACAGATCGAACGGAAATTTCTGTTGTAATCTCTCTGTCAAGCTTTGTTGGTGCACCACTTGTCCGTCAACGGAATTTTTCGCTGGGTTCCGTCTAAACAGGTCAAAACAGTGAAAAGTAGAAGGGGTGCGCCACAGTGGCGACGGACGAGTAGAATGGAAGAGGCAGGCAGTCAGACAGGCAAACTGCAAGCTGGTCTAGGATGGACGAGGAACAATTTATTGTGAAAGTTCAGAACAGGCCCTGTCTGTGGAATTTTAAAGACAGAATGTACAATAACAGGGATGCCAAGAGAAAAGCTTAGGAAGGCATTGCTGGCAGTCTTTCTTAGGGTGAAACTACAGTTTTGAATGTTCTATTTTGTTTCCGAAGTTGCATGTCGACCAATGCTAGGAGCTCATCAAATGAAGCTATAGTCATCCGATAGTATTGGAAGAATTTGTCAGGACAGCGTCGAAATTCCCCTTACAAACAGTAGGCTTGACCAAGTGCTACCTTTTTCGTATTCAATGGATGAATCCAATGTTTTCTCTTTCTTTTCTGCTTCTCCATTGCCTTGTAAATTCACAAAACGAAAAGTGGTTTCATTGTACCATACACGATCAACTGAGTCATGTTATCAACTGAATATCCAAACAGTCGTAGTCATTCCGTTCATTTCCGCTGTATATGTGGCTTGTTCAGGTTGGGTGGATTTTTCATCACAAAATTTCCTTGTCCAATTTATCAACCTCATTGTTGCCCCTCTTGCCTATAAGATTTGGCACCAAAATAACAAGGGTAAGTTTGTTATTATTCCCAATTCAGATGGCCTCGACTAAAATTTTGATGGTCGTGTATAATTTTTCTCTCTTTTTAATCGAAATGTCATCATATTAAGTTTTCTTTGTTCCCCTCTTGGTTTCCATATTAATAAAATAAACCTTATTGTACTTCCGCTTGGTATTTTATTATTCTACTAATTATGTTTCTGAATTTAAATAACTTACCTGAGGTTTTGAGATTTCCTTATACAGTTTTTGGGTTAATGAACTTGTAATGTGGGCGTTGCCGATCATTTTGGTCTCCCTGTCCTTGTAGGGTTTGACAACGTGATCGGTAATTACCAAATTACAAATTAACGAATCTTTGAATGATAATAGTAATGATTATAATTTGGCGCTAATAATTTAATGCCGGAATATGAATTATAAACAAACAAGTTCTTTCTAAAACTATAATTTCAAAGTTTGATGTTAGTGATGTGTTTCCCAAACATGTTTGGAGATTGTCTTAATGAATCCTTAGGGTGAAAACAGTAAAGGTGAATGTTACGTTAAATTCTGCATTTTTGAAGGTCATAAGTTAATCATAGCTATCGACTCCAAGCAGTGCAGATAGAGAAAAACTGGGATTTCACTTTACTTCTTCCCCTATTTAAAAATGGGTTGAAGCTATAAAATCTCGAACAAATACAAAAATGTAAACAAGGGAAAAATAAATTTTTGATAGAAGTAATAGAAATAAGGAAAGGGAATAAGAAATAAATTATCTTTTTACATTTCAGTCTTTTTCATTCGTGTGTCATAATCATTGATTGTAAATGACTATTTAATTTAATTTATTTAATTTAATTTTGGTAACATTTTCAAACAAATACAGTAATACATCCTGGACAAAAATTCATTTAGAATAAAAGGAGCAAAACATTGAATATATGAGATTTGGCAAGCTTTGTAGATAGTGAAAAAAAAGAAAATAAATAAATCTGCATTTTTGAAAGTCATAGGTATTTGATAACTATCGATTCCAAGCAGTGCAGATAGAGAAAACAATGGGTTTGTCACTTTGCTTTTTCTCCTAATTTACAATGGGTTTACGCTGTAAAATTCCAAACAAACAGCACAAACACGACCAAAATCGAGATGAGGTGAAAGGTGCAAAAATGTGTAAATAAATCTTGATATTTGAAAATCTTTAGATTTGCATAGCCAAAAGCTCCGAGCAAAGTAGGATATCACTTTTTTTGTTAAAATTTTTTTTTAACAAGTGTTCACAACAGCAGAGGCCATGGGCTGCTCGATTCGAACCCCGGACTTCTTTACCTTACAGAGATGAGCGCCATGTCAATGCATAAATCGTCGCGGCCACCGAAGCCTTCTTAGATTTTGATCATAATTAAAAATGGGTTTAAGCTTCAAATAAATACAAAAATTTAAACAAGAGAAAAATACATTTTTGATAAAAGGGGCAAGATAATAGAAAATAAATTATTTTTACAAATTTCATATTTCATGCACTCATGCATCATGATTATTGATTGTAAATGATCATTTAAATTAACTTTTGGCAGAATTTGAAAGAAAATCCAAAATATTTGAAAGTCTTAGATTTGTATAGCTAATGACTCCAAGCAATTCAGATAGAATAGAACTTCCACTTTTTAAAAATGGGTTTAGGCTATACAATCTCAAATACATACTGGATCAAATTTAATTTAGGCTAAAAGGAGAAAAATATCGAATATGTGAGATTTGGCAGGCTTTGTAGATAGTGAAAAAAATCTGCATTTTTGAAAGTCATAGGTGTTTGATAACTATCGACTCCAAGCAGTGCAGATAGAGAAAAACTGGGATTTCACTTTGCTTCTTCCCCTATTTAAAAATGGGTTGAAGCTATAAAATCTCAAACAAAACAAAAATATAAACAAGGGAAAAATAAATTTTTGATGGAAGTAATAAAAATAAGGCAAGGGAATTAGAAATAAGTTAACTTTGTACATGTCAGTCTTATTATGCACTCGTGCATCATAATTATTGATAGTAAATGACCATTTAATTGAATTTTTGGCAAAATTTTCAAACAAATATGGCCATACATAATGGGCAAAAATTCATTTAGGCCAAAACGAGCAAAACATTAAATATGTGGGATTTAGCAAGCTTTGTAGATAGTGAAAAAGATAAAATAAATAAATCTGCATTTTTGAAGGTCATAGGTGTTCGATAACTATCAACTCCAAGCAGTGCAGATAGAGAAAAAATGGGGTTATCACTGCTTCTTCTCCTAATTTAAAATGGGTTTAAGCTATAAAATCCTAAACAAATACAGCACAAATACTAGACCCAAAATCAAGTTGAGGTAAAAGGTGCAAAAATGTGTAAATAAAACTTGATATTTGAAAATCTTTAGATTTGCATAGCTAAAAGCTCCAAGCCATCTAATAAAATAAGGATTTCACTTTTTTTATTAATTTTTTTTTTAACAATGGTTCGCAACAGGAGCGGTCATATCAACCCTTGGGCTGCTCGATTCGAACCACGGACTTCTTTACCTTACTGAGATGAGCGCCATGTCAATGCCTAAATTGTCGTGGCCACCGAAGCCTTCTTAGCTTTTGATCCTAATTAAAAATGGGTTTAAGCTGTAAAATCTCAAATACACAAATTTAAACAACAGAAAAATAAATATTTGATAAAAAGGGCAAGATAATAGAAAATAAATTATTTTTACAAATTTCATATTTCATGCACTCGTGCATCATGATTATTGATTGTAAATGAGCATTTAAATTAACTTTTGGCAGAATTTGAAGAAGCAATTCAGATAGAACAGAACTTACTTCTACTTTTTAAAAATGGGGTTAGGCTATACAATTTCAAAAAAATAAGATACATACCAGATCAAAATTAATTTAGGCTAAAAGGGGAAAAATATCGAATATATGAGATTTGGCAAGCTTTGTAGAAAGTGAAAAAAAAGAAAATAAATAAATCTGCATTTTTGAAAGTCATAGGTGTTTGATAACTATCGACTCCAAGCATGTCATGTGTATCATAATCATTGATTGTAAATGACTATTTAATTTAATTTTGGTAACATTTTCAAACAAATACGGCAATACATCCTGGACAAAAATTCATTTAGGATAAAAGGAGCAAAATATTGAATATATGAGATTTGGCAAGCTTTGTAGATAGTGAAAAAGATAAATAAATCTGCATTTTTGAAGGTCATAGGTGTTCGATAACTATCGACTCCAAGCAATGCAGATAGAGAAAACAAAGGGGTTATCACTTTGCTTCTTCTAATTTAAATGGGTTTAAACTATAAAATCCCAAACAAATACAGCACAAATACTGGACCCAAAATCAAGTTGAGGTAAAAGGTGCAAAAATGTGTAAATAAAACTTGATATTTGAAAATCTTTAGATTTACATAGCCAAAAGCTCCAAGCCATCTAATAAAAAAAGGACCACAATTTTATTTTTTTTGCACACAGCGGTTTCATAAGCAGTTATATTGTCAATTTCACCATTCCACTAGACAGAGCCCACCAGTCTTGTTTGTGTCGTTTTCCAATATTGTCAATTATAGTGCAATATACTTTATTATCGTTCATTAGTGCAATACATGCAGAACAGGTTTTTCTGCTGCCCAATGGGGGGAGTTGAATATGGGTTCATCCGATTGTGGGAAAACAGAAAAAAAGACTCTTCGTCAGTCATCAAGATGAAAAAAACCCTCGAGAACAAATGATTTACACATAGTTGGACGCAAAACAGATATATGTGGCACAGCTGATGGAATACTACACAACCGGGCTTCTTTGACCCTATTACTCGGTATCAAAACCACCAAGTGATACGCACCACACCGTCCCATTCTTAACAAAGAAACCCCCAACCGAATCAGTTTTCCTCTCAGTAAATGCTTCGGTCAAAACATGTGTCATAATCCTAAGTTGACAAAATTATAAAATTACACGAAAGATGGCAATAATAGTGGAACATAACACTCGTTTGTGTATTGTCAATTAAAAAATGGCAAAAAGGAGGGAAAATTCAAAAGGTGGGGTTGAGATGGGAAGTTAGTGTCTGAGTGGATCGAGGTCACGATAGCTCAAGTGGTAGAGCAGCGGCGTATCTAGCCAAAGATCGTGCATTCGAATCCCGCTTGTGCCATTGACTTTTTTATCTCAACTATAAACCTTAATTAATTGTAATATATTAATTGGTCAAGCAGACCACGAAATTAGTGAATTGTCAATTAAGTTTGTTTTCAAGCATCTGAAATTTTTACTGAATTTACCATCAAAAATTCTTCGCGGCCTATTTTACAATTTTGTTTATAACTGTTTATTTAAAATTAAAAGCGTCTGAATGAATGAGATTTGACATTGTTCCTGCATGTACAATAATTGAAAAAGCCGTTATCTTTTTTTCAGGATTGCATTCAGGTAGATTAAATAAAGTATTGGAGTTTGCTGCATTTTCTAAACAATGAACTGCATGCTGAATTCTGCTTTGAACAATAATAAAATGGAATTTCTTCGTCGATTTAATTTTATGAAGTAAATTGATGTCATGAATATTTTGGGCGATTATTTTTTTTTTTTTACTTAGCATTAAGAAAAAACAGTGAAATAAAGGATTTTATAATAGACCTGCGTATTTGAAATTTTGGCACAATGAACTTGCAAACTTTTTTTTTTGAGGTTTGTTGGTGGGTGGTTTGAGAGTTGATCGGGCGTGTAAATTAATAATTACCAATTACATTCTGAAAATAATTTATTAGTAAAGAAACAAAACATTCATCAGAATAAAAATCCGATCAACTCTTGGGCCATACAATTAATCCCCAGGATACGTCCTGAAGCATGTTTTCCCCACTTTCAACTGAAATTGCCCATCAAAATCAAAATAATGAAGGTTTCCAAGAGTCCGTTGCAAAGCTCATAAAATGTTGGTGTTCTTAGCTGGAACATTTTTAAAAATGTCATGGAGGGGAGCTACGGTTTAAAGAGGTTAATTCACGTTTACCCTTTCAAAAATTTCATGATGTTTGTGCAGTTATTTTATAANTTCTTCAGGATTGCATTCAGGTAGATTAAATAAAGTATTGGAGTTTGCTGCATTTTCTAAACAATGAACTGCATGCTGAATTCTGCTTTGAACAATAATAAAATGGAATTTCTTCGTCGATTTAATTTTATGAAGTAAATTGATGTCATGAATATTTTGGGCGATTATTTTTTTTTTTTTACTTAGCATTAAGAAAAAACAGTGAAATAAAGGATTTTATAATAGACCTGCGTATTTGAAATTTTGGCACAATGAACTTGCAAACTTTTTTTTTTGAGGTTTGTTGGTGGGTGGTTTGAGAGTTGATCGGGCGTGTAAATTAATAATTACCAATTACATTCTGAAAATAATTTATTAGTAAAGAAACAAAACATTCATCAGAATAAAAATCCGATCAACTCTTGGGCCATACAATTAATCCCCAGGATACTTCCTGAAGCATGTTTTCCCCACTTTCAACTGAAATTGCCCATCAAAATCAAAATAATGAAGGTTTCCAAGAGTCCGTTGCAAAGCTCATAAAATGTTGGTGTTCTTAGCTGGGACATTTTTAAAAATGTAATGGAGGGGAGCTACGGTTTAAAGAGGTTAATTCACGTTTACCCTTTCAAAAATTTCATGATGTTTGTGCAGTTATTTTGTAAATAGTCAGGCGATTTTTAGAACAAAAGTGGACTAATCCAAAAGGAGGTTCGGAATTGAATTTAAAAATATGGTCAAAAGTTGGGAAAAGTAAGTTTGTAAGTTAGAGTGGAGAATTCAGGTTTTATGTAAAAAAACGTGTTTTTCTTAAATAAACTCTAAAAAATCATAACTATTGAATAGATTGAGATAAAAGCATGAGGTTTATGACATTCTACCCCATTTTAAATGTACTGTTACCGATTTTTTTTTTTAAACATGACAAGCTCATCACCCTGTATAATTTATGTTCTTTTTATTTATGTTTATTTGTATTGAATTAATGTATGACTATTATTTTGTTCTAAATAAATATGCTTTGTAACTAGTGATTTTATTAAATATTATATGTTACAGGAGAGGAACGTGACATCTGATAAGACAAGGAAGACAGTCATCATAAATTTTTTTAGCCAGTATCTTATGAAAAAAGAATAATCATGGCGAAGAAGAAGGTGTTTTATTTCTATGACCCAGATGTGGGCAATTTCCATTACGGCGTGGGCCACCCTATGAAGCCACATAGGCTGTCCGTCATCCACAGTCTTGTTTTGAACTACGGGTTGCATAAGAAGATGCAAATCTACCGTCCGTACCGTGCAAGTCCGCATGACATGTGCAGGTTCCATTCGGACGAGTACATTGAGTTCCTGCAGTCGGTCACACCTCAGAACCTTCAGGGATATACGAAGAACTTGGCTAGCTTCAATGTCGGTGACGATTGCCCTGTATTCGAAGGGCTGTTCGACTTTTGCTCCATGTATACGGGCGCGTCGCTCGAAGGTGCGACGAAGCTTAACCACAAACTGTGTGACATCGCCATTAATTGGTCAGGCGGTTTGCACCATGCGAAGAAATTCGAAGCGTCTGGTTTCTGCTACGTCAATGACATAGTGATCGCAATTTTGGAACTTTTGAAATACTACGCTCGGGTTTTATATATCGACATTGATGTGCATCACGGTGATGGTGTTCAGGAAGCGTTTTACCTAACTGATCGAGTTATGACAGTTTCTTTTCACAACTTCGGTCCCTGTTTTTTCCCAGGCTCTGGAGACATGTATGAAATTGGGTCTGACTCGGGAAGATATTACTCAGTCAATGTTCCTTTCAAAGAAGGCATTGACGATCAAAGTTATTATCAAGTGTTTAAACCTGTTATTCAGTATGTCATGGATTTTTTCAGGCCTACAGCCATCGTCCTTCAATGCGGAGCCGATTCTCTAGAAGGCGATAGGTTAGGCACATTCGGGCTAACAACAAGGGGTCATGGCGAATGCGTCAGGTTGATCAGGGATTGCAATATTCCGCTTTTAGTCGTCGGAGGTGGAGGATACACGCTGAGAAATGTAGCAAGGTGCTGGACGTACGAAACTTCATTGTTGCTCCACGAAGCCATCAGCAACGAACTCCCGTATACAGAGTACTTAGAGTATTTCGCTCCAGATTTCCAACTTCATCCGGAGATTCCGCCAAGACAGGAAAACCTCAACGGAAAACAATATCTCGAGGCAATAACCAAATTCGTGTTCGATAATCTAAAGATGCTTCAGCACGCTCCAAGTGTTCAAATGAAGGATATACCTGGTGACCTGGTACCGTCCGACGATTCAGCCGTACTGGACGATCTAGACCCTGATGTGAGAATGTCCCAAGCCGAAGAGGACATGCTCGTCGAGCCGGCGAACGAGTTTTATAATGGTGAAAAAGACCAGGACAAACAGAGTGAAAAAAAATGTGCCGTGTACATGTAACAAGCTCTACTTTACCTATTTTTATTCCCATTCAAAACTGTCTCACAACTGTTGAGATTTTTAAGTACATTTTTTTAATCAAACCTTATTTTACTTACACTGCTAAAACATTTTTTTAAAAGACCTAGTTCAGAATTATATAAACATTTTACATAATATGTACTCTGTACATTTAAAAAAAAAATCAACATTAGATTAATAGTTAAAAAAATTAATGGTGATCTATTTTTTAAATGTTATAACTTGTTATTCCAATGGAGCATTTTAATGTTTAATTATTTGACATTTATAATTTTTTTTTGCACATTGTATGTTTTACTTTTAAAAAGAGCATACTCGAGATTTAACTAGGCTGTTATAATTTCTTATCGTAATTTAATTTTTAATTTTTCACAAATTCTTAAGATTGGATCCTTGAAATAATAAAGTTTTCAACTTTAAATCGTACATATTTGGCAATCTGCATGGCTTGAAAATTTACGCATGTATATATATTTTTAAAAAGTTTGAATGGGAACATCTAATTCACAAACGAAAACAAATAGAAAAATACTTTTAGCACATTGTTTTCTATTTTGCACTTGCAATCTAGCATTGAATAATTCAATGTCAAGCTCACTGAGGAAATGGTTGTGACTTTTTGATTTTATCCAATGTTGGATCTATCGATTCTAGTTTGCAAGCTTTGGAACTATTATTTATTCGTTTCCCTCTCGGAAACGGAAAATGCACAGGACCCGATGCAAAATAGAAACTTGTGAAGCTCTGTGATATATATTATTATATTATAATTCAAATTATCCTTTTTCTGTTTTATTTTGTAAACATGTGTATATTATTGAGTAGAACCGGCTATAGATTTGTATTTGTATTAGGTCTAATTTATTCATCTTTGTGAGTACCGGTTGGCCGAAAGGTTTTCCCCTTACGTTGCAAGAGATGTTACAATCGTCTTTGTCATAATTTTGTAGGTTTTTTTTTTATGTAGAGTAAAAGTGGGTGACAAAAGTACACTGAATTGTACTCTTTTTTTCTTTTCATTCGCATTGTTTTCAGAAAAAAAATCTAAATGTTTTATGGTCTCGTCGTAAGTGTAAATATAGTTATTAATATTAACCGTAAGTTAATCCAAATTGTTGTATATTATTTACAGGTGTATTCGAACTCATCATTGTTACTATTGATCTCTATAGTAAACATAAAATAAATCAATATGAAATTATTTGAAGCTTGACACTTGAGGGGAGATAAATTAAAAATACTTGTGGATTCGACCGACATCATTTTGAAGTAAATATAAACAGTTAATCGTTTAAAAGGCTTTTTGTTAAGTCAACTAATTACTAAGATTTTAAAAGAATGAACGAACAACATGAACATGAAGAATGAACATGAACAATAACAAAATAAAGGGGATTTGTGCTAACATTTTATTAAAATAATTTTTCATGTTGATTTATTTTTTTGTCATTTAAGGTTTTACAAAACAAATTTCTTTTCAAGAAATGGAACTATTTCTTACACTTCAATACAATATAGTACTTGCATGTAAAATTAATCTTTTTAATTTGTAATATTCTATGAGCTACGTTTTATCGAATTGTTATGAAAATTCACCGAGTTAACTTTTATGTATTTTATATGAAATTATTATAAATTTGATGTTCACCGTTCTTACAAAACGCAAAAATTAATGTTTCCAATGTTATGTAAGAAAGAAAAAAAAATCCATGAAACTGTTGTAAATAGTGTACATTTCGACTGTAAACAATTTTTATTTTAAAATAAAACAATTCTACAAATATTTTTTTTCTCAAAATTTTTCAAACCCATTTTATCTGTTGATTTTCTGAAAACTATCGAATTACAAACTTTGAGGTACTATTTCTGAAATTGGCAGGGACTAGTGTTCCAGACAATATTGCTCAATACCGCATTGCTTATTCAACTCTAAAACAAAATTGATAGTTGTTTGAATTTCATTAAAGATAATTTCAACAAGTTAAACTGACTGTTAGGAACATAGTTTACAGTAGGATTATGCATTGTCCAACATTTTACTATATCCATTATATTTTGTAGTCCAATTGACCAAATAACTTCTTTCAATTAATTAATCTTTATGTAAGGTATTAGTTGAAATGAAAACGTAAGTATCACGAGCGGGATACGAACCTACGACCTTCGGCTCAATACGCCACTGCTCTACCCACTTGACCTATTGTGTTTTCGATCCACACAAACACTAACTTTTTCATTTCAACCAATACCTTTCATAAAGATTAATTAATTGAAAGATTTTACTATTATGTTGAAGATTTATGTAAAATTTTGTTATTATGTACTAGTAAATAATTTACTTTATACTTTTTTAACCTTCTTTAGCTGATATAAAAATATATACTTTTATCCAAATTATAATTCATAAATTTAATATGTAAATCAACTTTAACTCATTCACTGTGGGAGCTATTTTGTTTGAGTTTTCCTGTGGATAGCTATTTCTGTCAAATCAACCATTTTTACGTCTATAGCATAAAATTATTTTTTCTATTTCAAATGGACCCTTTTTAACTTTAAATTAATCCTTTTTAATTTTAAATTAACTGTTTTCAATGTCAAAGTAATTATTTTTAATTTTAAATTAATCTTTTTTAATTACAAATTAAAGGCTTTTAATGGAAAATTAACCCTTTTTAATTTTAAATTAGCTGTTTTCAATTTTAAATTAACTGTTTTCAATTTCAAATTAACTTTTTAACTTTATTTTAAAGTCACTCTTTTTAGCTTATATTAACCCTTTTTAACTTCAAATTAATTGTTTTTAATTTCATATTAACCCTTTTTAATTTTAAATTAACTGTTTTCAATGTCAAAGTAACAATTTTTAACTTTAAATTCATCCTTTTTAATTACAAATTAATGGCTGTTAATGCCAAATTAACTCTTTTTAATTTTAAATTAACTGTTTTCAATTTCAAATTAACTTTTTACTTTATTTTAGTCACTCTTTTTAACTTATATTAACCCTTTTTAACTTCAAATTAATTGTTTTTAATTTCATATTAACCCTTTTTAATTTTAAATTAACTGTTTTAAATTTCAAATTAACCCTCCTTAACTTTAAATTATTTTTTTAATATCAAATTAACCCCTTTTAACTTTAAATTAGCCCTTTTTAATTTCAAATTAACTGTTTTTAATTTCAAAATAACCCTTTTTATCTTTAATTCAAATTAACCCTTTTTAACATATATTAAACCATTTTTAGTTGAGCCATTTATCCATGTCTTTTGAGTATATATTGTTCTTCCACCTCTCAACTATATCATTTTTCTTACTTAAACGGCATTCTGGGCTCGTATAGTACATGGATTTACACCCTAAAGGGCTAAGGCACTTGTCAATTGGTGGGCTGGCAGGAATTTGTGTTTTTTAGAGAATATTCAAATGAGCAACTCAGAAGAGTATTTGTATTACATTTTAATATTTTTGCCGAGAGAATAAAGAGTACAATGAAAAGATCACCCACTTTAAATGAAAATGGCAGTTCTATAAATGTATAGGCATGTTAGTGTCATTATTTTGTTATTTTCAAAAAGCTGACAGCAAAATTTTTTTCTGGAGTGGGACCTTAATATCGGTGCTAATATTCCGGTAATAGTGCTATTTTCCCAAAAACCCGTAGGGGAGTGGTGATTCAAAATTATTTGTGTACTTAATTGTATGAATGTGTCGGCTCGTAGAATTCACAGTATTTACATTGAAAAAACAACAGTTTAAATTTGGTAGGAGTTCATTTATATGAGCTTCCCATGTCAAGGAGGAACAACATTCAACCCCAAAATTCTTACTGAGCCAGTCCAAGACAATTCCATACTCCCAATATTTATCACCATTGAAGTTCAGACAAACCGTTCTTTTGATGTTGATTTCCAATCCATTTTTATCCATCCAACTTTTTATTTTATGTCATTTAAGTTCAGTCTCACTTGAACCTACAATGTTAGTGCCATCATCCACGAATAATACGAAGATCCAACCTTAATTGACTAAGTCATTGATGAAAATGTTAAATAAGAGTGGCTCCAGAATTGAGCCCTGTGGGAACCTTGTACTAACAGGAATTGTGGAAGAGGAATGCCTATTTGTAAATATTTTTTGATAGCGCTCAGAAAGGAATGACATAAACAAATCCAGGCAAACACCACGTACACCAAAAGATTCAATTTTCATAATTAATAAGTCACAGTTGACTAGATGAAAGGCCTTAGATCAAGAAAGGTACCTACTGAAAGATTTTTCATTTTTGAACCTATTATTTTCTCAAGTATGTAATAGAGAGCATCCTTGGTGGACAGCAATTTTCTGAACCCAAATTGGAAATTTGAAAACAAATCAAAACTTTCAATGTATTCTATTATTATGTATTAATTTTTCATTGACTTTATTAAAACTAGATAACTGGGCCATATCATGCCTGATACCCTTTTTAGGAACAGGCACAACCTTTGCTGTTTTTAGTTTTACAGGGTGAACGCCAAATTTGAATATAGGTATAATTACATGAGGTTTAGTAAAATAAGAAGCACATTGTTTCAGGAACTAATATTCTATTGAAATTTTTGAGGTTAAAAAGGGTCAATCTGAAGTAAAAACATTAAATATTTAATTAGTTAGGTTTATTAATTATTATTTCCATTTTTTAAGCAAAGACGATTGAGAAGAAAAATTAGTGTCAAGAGCGTGATTTGAATCCAGCGGGTGCCGAAGGCCATGGGTTCAAATCTGGATCGTGAAGCTAATTTTTCTTCTCAACCGTCTGCATAAAAATAAAAATAAAAAGTTAGCAGGATGGTGGCTTATTTTGGACCACAATCAAATAAAACACAAATTTCTTTCTGTATCACTGTTATCAAACATTAAAACAATATTTGTGAGTACTTTTGTGATTATTCTGATATATATGGATTCCTGGCAATTGTTACTATTGATAGTTGCAAATTAATAAATGTGGAGAAATACAGTTAATGTCATTATTTAAAAATTAATTTAATTTTAATTTTTTAAGAGTTTCTTTTCTTTAGAATTTTTGTTTTTGTTTTAATTAATTCATTTTTAAAATGAAAAAGTT